GGGAGATGGAGAGTCAGAGGGATGGGAAGTCAGGGAGATGGAGAATCAGAGATGGAGAGTCAGGGAGATGGAGAGTCAGAGGGATGGGAAGTCAGAGAGATGGAGAGTCAGAGATGGAGAGTCAGGGAGATGGAGAGTCAGAGAGAGAGAGTCAGGGAGATGGAGAGTCAGGGAGATGGAGAGTCAGAGAGAGAGAGAGAATCATGGATATGGAGAATCAGAGAGACAGAGTCATGGAGATAAGAGTCAAGGGGATGAAGAGTCAGAGAGATGGACTGCATGCCTCCCACATTCTCCATATCTCACCTCACAAGAGTCCTTCCCGCCTTCTTTGGTACCAGCACAGAGCATGTTGGCAGTGATCTTCCCGGGATACACCTGCCGGCACTCCTCATCTGAGCGCAGTTCAATGTTGGCACACTGCAGGGTTTTAGGGTAATTCACTGGGGAGGAGAGAGACCATCTGAGGAGGCTTGTCCTGGGTGTCCAAGAGTCAGAGTGGGCAGGAAGTGAGATGGGATGGGATAAGTAAGATGAAGCGAACGGTGAGGCAGAAAGCAGTAGAGAGACGAGAAATGGACAGACACGGGAAGCAAATGAGGATAAAAGGAGGGGAGGGTGGGAGAGCTAGGGTAGGGGGAGACAGGGACGGGGAGAGATAAGAGACCTGAAGGTGGGTTACCGGGGAGGTACCCCGGTACTTTCTATGCAAACACGAGGACCAGAGTTCAGATCCCTAAAACTTATGTAAATGTTGGGAGCAGGCATGGTGGCCTGCCTATAATTTCAACCTCAGAAGAGACGAGATCTCCAAAGCAAGCTGGTTAGCAAGGCCAGTCATGATGGTGGGTTTTGGGTTTGACAGAGAGACCCTGCCTCAATGAATAAGGTAGAAGAGTGATCAAGGATGATTCCCAACATCAACCTTGAGACTCCACTTGCACTGACACACGCGTGTGTGCCCCACACAAGCAAATGTGCATACACACATGCACACCACATGTGTGTGAAAATGGAAAAGGGGGGGGGCAAAGAGGATTAGAGCTAGGTAGGATGCAAGGGATGATGAGAAAAAGTAAGAGACCAGAGAGGAGTGTGAGGGAGAGAAAGATACAGAAAGGTGATGGAGAGATTGCTGTGGAGGCACCTGCTGACATGTGCTATGCTATATGTTAGTCATATGTGTAAAACATACCTAAAGATACACTTTTTATACTTCATCCACCTCCATAAGATACACTTACTTAATGTATTATGTAAATTACAAATATGTAAGTCATAAATATATTTATTAATGTATATAATAATGTGTTAGATATTACATAATAAACATTATCATACAATCTTTATTTTTCAGAGCTAGGGATTGAAGCTTCAGATAGGCAAGGCACATTCTCGACTGCTACTCTACTTCCCCAGCCCTTTTAATTTTACTTTACTTTTAAAAACTTTTGTGTACATGTGTGTGTGTGCTAAACCAGGTGTGAGGAGGTCAGGAAACAACTTTGGGATTCAGTCCTCTCCTCCCATCATGTGGGGGATTTAACCCAGGCTGCCAGGTGGTAACAAGCACCTTTACTCACTGAGTCCTCTAGCCAGCCCTATTTTACTTCTTTAAAAAGAAATTTTGAGACCGAATCCTCTGAGTAGCCCAGGCTGGCTTCTCTGTAGCTTAGGCTGACCTAAACTTGTGATCCTACTCATTCCCCCGGGTGACTGGCATTACAGGCCTGTGCCACCAGGCTCAGCTTATGTAATCATTTATTCTGAGTCTGGAGAGACAGCTCAGTGAGTAACAGCACTTGCTGCTCTCCCAGGGGAGATTCTCAGCTCCCCTGCCAGGCAGCTTACAACTGCCAGTGCCTCCAGCTCTAAGGGGATCTAGTGCCTTCTTCTGGCCTCTGTGGGCACCTGCACTCACATGCACAAACCCACACAGACACACACACACAGAATTAAAAATAAATCATACACACACACACACACACACACACACACACACACACACACACAATGTATATATAATCCCAGTACTTGGGAGGCAGAGGCAGGTGGATCTCTGTGAGTTCCAGGACAGTCAGGGCTACATAGTAAGACCTTGTCTTAAAACACACACACTCACTATATGTGTGTTTGTGTATTACTCATACATTTGTAATATTAATATTAGTTTGTAATATTAATATTAAGAAGATACATGACTTCATTTATGTAGACTTATTTTTATAAAGGGACTGGACAGATGTCTCAGTGGGTAAAGGCACTTGCAGCCAAACCTGAGGTCCTGAATTTGATCCCAGAACCAAAATGGGGAGAGGAGAGGAGAGGAATCCTGCAATCGTCCTCTGATTGCCCTTCGACTGCTTTGCTATATGCACCTTCTTTGCAGCACACACCCAAAACCAATACAAATATAATAAAGAAGAAGAATTCTCCTCTGACTTCCCCTGCTTACCGCAGCCTCATTTTCCTCAGCCGTTTATGAGGTGAGGTCTCCAGCAGCCAGTGCAAGCACTTACCCTGGGGACTGGTGGTGGTGCCCCAGCCAGAAACGCGACAGCAGGTGCCAGTGGGTAGGCAGTCGTCCGGGGAGAGTGGCAGAGTACGGATGTGGCTGCTGAGCTGGACTGGGGACTTCAGCTCCAGAAGCATGATGTCGTGGTCATGGTTCAGGTGGGTGGGGCTGACCTGGTATTCAGGATGGGGGATAGAGCGGACCACCTCCATTGCCTGCTCGCCGTTCTCCACACGCCCCAGGGCATGCTTGCCTAGGTGAACTGTGTACCCACTGTGGTGCAGGAAGTGGCAGGGAAGAGACAGATGAGCCCACCTCTGCCCCACCCCAGCCCCAGCCTCCCCCCATCCTGCACTCAAGGCCCCACATACTCTTTTCTGCAGTGAGCTGCGGTGAGTATCCATTTGGGGTGAACCAGAACGCCTCCACAGAGAAGCCGTCCATGGACCAGTAGAGCTGCCTGCCAAGGCTGAGAGTGGGGGAGGCAGGTGTAGCCACCTGGGAGAAAACCGTTGGTCCCATTGGTCCCACTGAGAATCTTGGGATAGTCCCGGGAGATTCCTGTCAAAGACAAGAAAACTGTCAGAGAATTGGGGCTAAGGAAGAAGAAGAAAGGCCAGTGCTGTGGTTCCGGACTTGGAGAAAGGGTCAGATTATTGTTTTGGCTCACCATGGACTGAGGATTCATTTGCTATCCTCTAAGTTGCCATGTTCTATCCAGTGGGGATGAGTCAGGCAGACATTTCACCTGTACCATAGAAGTGCTGAACTGTCCAATGGGCACTAAGGAGAGAGCTATGGCATGGGAGGGTTGCCAAGAAGTAAGCAGAGGTTCGCTTTCTCTCCATCTCCATTTTCTTAAGGTGAAAGTGTTGATTTATGAATCTCCCTAGGCAGTATCCATCCACTTGTTCATTAATTCATCCACTCATCAATCCATCTACCTACCTACATCCATCCATCCATCTAATGGAGACTATTGGAGTCCAGCCTCGAATAGTCTTCCTCCCAGGGTCTCCAGAAGAGACACTACCAATGTTGAGAATAATCTGAGAGAAAAGAGTCTAAGTACACTGAGCTCTTCAGTCCATTCACTTTATTCCTCTGAGACAAAATTCTGTCCACACAGCTCCGATTCTGTTCTCATACTTAGCTCCTCTCTGTCCCTTCTCCTCCTGTCCTCTCATAGTTCTAACTAAGCTCTTTCTGTCTTCATTCCTCTTCATCTCCATTCCTCCTCATTCCTCTCTGGGAACCGGTCTAAAACCTTACAAGCAGTCCGACCTTTACAATACAATGCAAGGCTTTCAAGATTCCCAAAAGAGCAGTGATAGTTTCATTTTCAACCCAAAAGGGGAGTGAATAAAGGAGGTGGGGTCAAATAAGGGCTGGAATAAATCAGAAAGGGAATTTATGTGCTCAAAATATATTCTTATGAGTGGTTAATTGAAATGTTACGAGTTTATTATAAATGTGCTCAAACTACAATCTTACAGATGGTTAGGTAGAAGAGTTTATGAGTCACTAAAATAAAACTGCCTTTATTTTCCTATGTTGCTGTTTTCTGGCAGGGCAGGGGAAGAGTACTTGATGGCTAGATAACTTACTTCACTGCTTGAAGTACCTGGTATGAAGAAAATCCTTTTGTTCTAAGTAAGTTGCTCTAGGATGCCACTTGGGCTGAGAGAAAGGGAGGTCTGAGCTTAATTTGCACAAGAAGCAAATCTATGTACCTAACATCCACCTGGTCTAGGCAGTGTCTCCACATGGGTGTTTACCTTAATGGAGGAGACCATTGGGTGGTCTGACCAGCTAGTCGGCCGCTTACCCTTGGATGCTTTGTCCAAGCTGGCCCTGATTTTGGATGCTTGCTAAAGGAGATAATTGCAGAAGGCAGGCATCTAATTCAAATGCTAAAAGGGGGCAGAAATCCTGGAGGCAGGGAGCCTTGCCTGCATGACTGTATCCAAGTACCTTAAATGTATATGCCCAAGGAATGATCAGTCCACACTATTAGAAATTCCTGGGGAAGCTATGAGAACGCACATGAAATTCATAGCAGGAAACAGTTGATCTATTAAAACCCAAATAACACCAAATGCTCCTTGACACTTGGCTTCCTCTGGAGAAATTCCTTGATTCTTCCAGATAGAGCTTTGTCAGAGTCAGCTGAATTCTTACTTCATATTCCTGTGGCCCATAACATACATCCATCCATGTATGTGTGTGTGTCTGTCCGTCTGTCTTTCCATTTATCTATCCACCCACCCACTAATCTACCTATCCACCAGCCCATAGATTCACATGTCCACCCATCTACTCATCCATCTATGTATTCATCTATCCACTCACACACTCATTCTATGTATCCATCCATCCATCCATCCATACATACATACATACATATATACATATATACATCCATCTACCCCTCTATCCATCCATTCATCCAACAACCTACATGTCTATCCATCCTCATAACCACCAATCCATTCCTTTACCTATCCATCTATCTATCCACACCCCACCCATGTATCCATTCATCTACTACTAATCCATCCAACCATCCATCCATCCTTTCAACACATATTTACTGGGTGCTTTTCCAGTTCTACAGACCACCTACAAGCAGCCGTGCCCAAATTCACATTTCCAACCCCAACCTTTGTGGCTGGAAGCTCAAATGCTATCAACCCAAACACCCTCATGCACATCTTAAAGTTTGTGTCTGGAAATTGATCTTGCTCACCCCAAACTGTTCCTTCCAGTCCTTCTCATCTTGACGCTCAGCCCAAATCTGGGCACAAGCCTTGCTTCCTTTCATCCCTTCATCATTCACAACAGTCCTGTCAGTTTATCTCCTAGATACCCAGTTTAAAACATTTAATATTTATTTATTTTATGTGTGTGAATGTTTTGCTTTCATGCATGTATGTGCACCATGTGCATGCCTGGTGTTCAAGGTGTCAAAAGAGGGCATCAGATTTCCTGGAAATGGAGTTACAGACCATTGTGAGTCATCATGTGGGTGCTGGGAACCAAACCTGATCCTCTGCATGAACAGCCAGTGCTCTTAACCATTGAGCCGTCTCTCCAGCCTCTTGATAAGCAGTTTTTACCAACTCTCTGCCACCATCTTGGAGGGAACAGCAAGTTTCCTGTAAACTCAGAGCTGGGGAAGCTAAGGCAGGAGGACCCCTGGGGTTTGCGGTCAGCCAGTCCAGCTGAACCGGAGAGCTCCAGGGTTAGCTGGAGAGACTGTCTCAGAAAATAAGGTGAAGGATGATAGAAGAGGACACCTGATGTTGACCTGGCCTACACATGCGCGCGCGCGCGCACACACACACACACACACACACACACACACACACACACACACCTCTCTCCTCTTGGGCCACGCTGCTCTGGCCTCATACACCTGTTCTCCCAACACATTTGAGCCTCTCTTTGTAACTGCTGTTCTCTCCTCCTGAGTACTTCTTCCTTATGTCAATCATAGACCCACATGTTTCATTATGCCAATCATAGCCACATGTGTGTCTTGAAATCAATTAAAATAAAATTCAAATCTCAGTTCCTTGGGGATACCAGACACGTCTCAGATATTCATTTATCCACATGACCAGACATAAGCATGTGGTGCAGAGTACATTTGAGCTGGTGCATGGAGAATCCAGATGCACATGACATCTAAGTCCATATAACTTCTTCAGCAAAACCTTCTGGGGCCCCTGGTCTAATGGGTTCCCCTCCTGGACCTCAGGCATGTCATGTTTCTGTAAGGATGCTCATCAAAGTTACAGCTTTCCATCTTTTCAGGCTTGTTGGTAATTTCCTCTCCCCCACCCCATCCCTTTCTTCTCTATTCACTTCCCCCTCCCCCCTCTGTCTCTCTCTCCTTCTCCTTTTCTTTCCATCCTCTGCATGCCCCTCTTCTCTCTCCCTTTCTCTCTGTTACCCTGTCTTCTTTTCCTCTCTCTCCGCTCCCTTCCCTTACCATCAGCTCCACTGGCAGCAGCCGTCTGAACCACTCTGCTCAGCGTCTCAGTCCTCGGGTTTAGCATTTGTGACAGCGACGGAGACACAGCTGTGGCCGGTGGGCACATCTAGATCCCAGTGGGCTGCTTTCTTACTATGCAGTGTCCTGCAAATTGCCAGCCTCAGCCTCCCTCGCTGTTGAGTAGGAAGAACACAGTCCTCCCTCTGTATCTGTGGAGAACTGGTTCTAGGGCTCTACAGACATTACAAGCCAGGAATGTTCAAGCCCTTTACATAAAGCATCACGGTGTTTACATATAACCTCTACACATCTTTCCGTCCCATTAAACCACCCCTGATGATTTATAGTAGCTAATAAAAGCCAAATGCTATATAAACAACGACTACACCTTATTTCTCTGGGAGTAATGCCAATGTGAGCTAGCACTGACTAGAATAGTGTGTGCTTTTCTATTTGCTGTGTAGTTGGTTGAATCTTCAGATGGGGAGCTGTGGATACAGAGGACAGGCTCTGGGGGCTCAGCACACATTAGAAAGCTGTGGGATTCATCTACCTCCAACCTGAGCATCTTACAAATGCTTAACTACAGGGGAGGCCCCTTGTCCACCAGCCCACTTTCCCACTTGCATATGCTGGGATGGGCCCCATGGTTCTAAGAGTTACGGGCAGGAACAGAGGGCCATTTTAGTTAGGACCAAAAAATGAGACAAAGGTGATATTAAGAGGTAGAGATAGGAGGATGAGAACTTCAAGGTCATCCTTGGCTACAGAGCAAGTTTGAGGCCAGCCTGGGATACTTGAGACCCTGTCTCAAAGATGATAAAGTGAATAAATAAATGGCAAACTCGGAAGCTGAGTCATGGTCCAGTTCTCTTCTAACTCTGGGCGTGTCTGTGCCAAAGGCTCATGGGGAGGCTTTGGACTGAAACCCCCACTCTCATCAGGAGGGAGCAAATCCTCCTTTAGAACCTGAGCTTTGGAGGTTCCATCATCTTCAGTAGCTATTTTACAGAAGACGAGAAGGGCCAATTAAGGCAAGCTTGGTGGTGCAGGCCTGTTAGCCCAGCTCCTTGGGAGACCAACACAGCGAGATTGCAAATTCAAGACCCGCCCAGGGTACAGTAGTCCAAAGCTGGCCTGAGGAACTTAGCGAGACTCTACCCCAAAATAAAAAGCAAAAAGAGGGTTGGGAATGTAGGTCAGTCATAGAAACTTCCTTAGTTCTCATGGGACCCAGAGATTGATACGTGTGTGTGTACGCGTGTGTGTGCGTGTGTGTGTGTGTGTGTGTGTGTGTGTGTGTGTGTGTGTGTGTGTGT